CATATTTGGTGGGAGAACACAGTTCAGGGAATGACTGGTGGGCTGGGTGTGTTGTTGTTGTTGTTATGTGCCGTCGAGTCAGACCCGACTCAAAGCAACACCTCCTTGGGTTTTCCAAGGCAGTATCACTACAGAAGTAGATTGCCCAACCTTCCTTCCGAGGAGAGGCTGGTGGGTTTGAACCACCAGCCTTCTGGTTTGCAGTCAAGGGCCTTCAAGCAGTACGCTACTAGAGCTCCTTGGGCTGGGTGTATAGGGGTGCATAGGCAGGTTGGGAATATATCAGCACATGTGTACACACAGGCAAGGGCAGGTACATGTGGGTGCACAGGCAAGGTGGGCTTATGTGGGCATACACAGGCAGGAGTGGGCACATGTGACCAAGGCCAGAGGAGGCAGACCCAGGCGGGCAGGTGGAAGACAGTGGTGTGGTCAGAATCCCACTTTTCCTCCTCATGGCTGTGGCCAGCCAGGCCCAGACACCAGATCCGTCTGGTGCCACATCTGCCCAGACCCCTTCCTCTTTCAGAGCCCACCTTCCCCTACCACCACACACACAAACTTCCTTTTTCTCATCACATCCTCTGGGGGCCTTGAGGGAGCTGGCGGCCACTCATTGTCCTGTTTCTTCCTCAAGAGCCAGACAGGGGAGGTCTGTGGGAGCCCAGGCACAAGGACCCACTGCCCCTCTGCTTGTCCCCATCTATACAGCATCGCCCCGCACCCCTTCCTTGTGGGTCAAACGGGCGCTTCTCTCTGTGGATCCTGCACCAGGGCCTCGTGTGTCTGGGGTGATGGTCAGAACACTCAGCAGGGCAGCCCGTGGTGCCTTAAACAAACAAACAAAAAAAAAAAAACCCGTTGCCATCGAGTTGATTCTGACTCATGGTGATCCCATAGGACAGAGTAGAACTGTGTCATAGGGTTTCCAAGGCAGACTGTCATATCTCTCTCCTGCAGAGCAACTGGTGGGTTTAAAGTACCTACCTTTTGGTTAGCAGCTGAGTGCTTACCCACTGCACCACCAGGACTCCAAGGAGGCATAAAAACACCCTGAGCCAAGGCGGCCCCCACCCCCACCTCTATCTCAGGCAGCACTTCCGCAGGCCTGACAGGAAATGGGCTGGAGGCACAACCTCCCGCCATCTCACCATCTTAAGATAACTTCTTGTTTCCCTATTGCCCCCTGCCAGCCCTGGGGTTGTACCCTTGGCTCCACCCCCCAGACCTTCCCAGGGCTCTGTCCCACGCACAGAAGGCAGGATGGTGGACATGGTTGCCCAGCTGACCAGAAGGCAGAGTCGGGCCCTTCGGGGACAGGTAGGGGACTCTAGCATTAGGGGGCAAACTCAGCCTCTGTCGGGGATGGTCAGGGGGCCTATAGAGACAAAAGGACCCCTGGGGGCCATCATCCTCTGGCCCTGGGGTAAGCTGGGGTCTGAGGCAGGGGTCTCATGGAGTTGGGACTTCCAACTTCTCCTCTGAGGCCGTGAGAAGGGGGTGAGAGGTAGGGGGGAACAGGGTGATGCTGAGAGGGAGTGGGCAGCTGATGGGGAAAGGCAGGTCTGTGCCTTCTTGTGGACACGGGGAGGAAATTGGAGACAAAAGGGGCTGCTGCTGTTAGGAAGTGCTGGGGGGCCAGCAGCAGGGTGTGGTGAGAGCCAGACCCCTCTTGGTTCTGTCCTTTGGCCTGAGGTGGGGGGCTACTTCTCTTTCCTACACAGTGTCCCTTTTATCTCTTGGATACGGCCAGGCCCCCAGAGCCATTGGTACCCTAGTCAGGCCCCTGTTCCTGGGCTCTGTCTGGCTTTTCCCTGGGCCTCCAGGAGTTGGGGGCAGAGGCCCTGCTGTAAGCAGGGTGAGCTTCCCCTCCAAGCCAGAGGTATGGGAGGGCCTGTGCCCACCAGGCCCTGGGAACTGGTCAGATCTGGCTGAGGCTCTGCCTGAGAGGAAAATGCCACTACCCTAGCACTGTGGGGGCTCTGCTGAGAGTTCTGGGCCTGAAGGGGGCCTCTGGGATGCAGCAGCCCAGCTCCGTCCATCCGTCCATAGGGCTGCACATCTTGCAGCATCCGTAGCAGGGGGGTTGGACTCCGCTTGCTCATTTCCAGTGATGGCCACTCACTGCCTCTCGAAGCACCCTGTGTCTCTGGGGCAGCCTCAAACTTTAGAATGTGCTTCCTTCAAAGGGGCACTGCCCTGTCTCCATTTGATCTGCACCGTGAAGCCCCACATTGTGTCTCTGGATCTTCTTTTCCTCGTCATGACAGCCCCGTCACGCTGGGAGCCCACACTTCTATCTCCAACATCTGCTCTGTACCTGCTAGGGCTGTTCTGTGTGAGAGATCCTGGTCAGCTCCACCAGCCTGGGACTCCCTGTGGACTCAGAGCCACGGGCAGCAAGCAGCCTCGCTCCTTCGTTGGCTCATCCACGCCCCCAGGGACCCTTCCAACCCTGCCTCAGGGCTGGACACAGCTTCAGTGGGTCCAGCTGGAATGAGTAGAGATGTGTCTGATTCATCCACTTTGCTCCACCTCCTGCCTCTGTCCTGGCCATCCAAGGAGTCTCCTTGTTTTTTTGTGGCTCGAACTCTCATTCTCAGAAAGTTCTTGCCCAAACCTAACCTTGGTCCCTCCCTACTGTCAGATGCACTTGTTTGTTTGTTTGTTGGCCACAGGAAGTGTTTCAGAGGCTCTGCTATGTGTTGTGGGGCATCAGAGCACCTGCTGGGGGGCAACTGGGTTCAGTTAGTCAATCTGGGTCTTGCTTTCCATTTTTTGGGCAGAAAAAGTAGGCAAATGGTTAGACACACCTTACCAACTACCAAGGCAGAATGCTGTTTGGTGTTAACAGCAACAAGCAGAGGTCCAGAGGATTAGACCTCTCATAGGAGGGAGACAGGTTCCCCCAGGAGAGGCTTCTGAGCCCAGAGCCAGTGGTTGGGCAAGGTTTGGCTAGGCTGGGAATAAGGCAAGGGCATTCTAGGCCAAGGGAAGCGCAGGCAGGGAGGGAGATAGGCAGCCATTTCTGTGTTTTAGGTGGGGGTGAGCCATCTGGTGTGGTTGGAATACTGGATGCCACATGAGGGCTGCAGTGGGAAAAAAGAAAGGAGAAGTGAGGTCCTGTCTCTACCACACAGGAGCTTCGGTGGGCGAAGGGGGGGGGGGGTTCCCAGCTCTCTCTGCCCATGTGTCTGGGGACCTACAGCCTTCATAGCCTCCCCGTCTAAAACAGCAACACCCCCTTTTTCTATCCCATTCTGGTTTTGCTCCTTAGCAGTGATGATCAGACTATCATCAATGTGCTGTATATTTGACTTATCATCTTGTTTGTCTCCCTGTCCCACTCCTTCCTGTCATAGACTCACGTGCATTAGAGTGTCAGCCCTTTGGGGGCAGGGATCTGTGTCTGTTCCCTGCTGCATGTCCAGGGCCTGGCCCAGAGCTGCGGATCTTTGTTGGACTAATGAATGTTTCCTTAGGTACCTGCCTACGGTCCTTGAGGGAGACAAGCTTCCCTTCTCAAGAAGTTTATGGCTTAGTGAAGGGGTCACAGTCAACAGAGAAATTCCTGTGATTTTTTAAAAGGTCTATTGTAGGAAGTTTTGAGGTTGCAGGAAAGTTTAAAGGAAAATAAAAGGAACAAAAAACAAATTCAAACCCTATAATAATACTGCCAGAGATGACCTCTGTTAGCATTGTTGAGGGTTTTTTAAAAACACACAATTGGAATTAAGCCAAGTTTACCGTTTTGATTGCTTTTTTCCCTAGAGTATTATATATTCTTGGAAAATAAAATTTATCCCAAGATGCTATTCTTTTGAGTGGGTTCTGATAATGTAGTTTTCTCTCCCGCTGGTGATGGTGCTGGTTGGGGTGTGGTGGGCACACAGGAGGGATGGAGCAAGGCACCTCCCCTGGTTATGGGAAGAAATTCTTGGGAGTGGTCTTGAACCTGACACCTGAGCTGAGTCCTAAAGGAGGAGGTGAAATCAGCCAGGTGAGGAAGGGATGGGTAAGGGCCTGGCAGGCCTTGAATGAGCTGAGGCCTGGAGGAGACACAGCTACTGGAACTGAAATTTGAAGGCAAGAGTCAAGGAGTGGCAGGTAGTGAGGAGGAAGCTGAGGCAAGTAATGGAAGCTTCTGTTGAGGCTTGACTTTGCCCTCAAGCAGCCGGGAGCCATGAAGGTGTTAAAGTGTGGGAGGGCCCCACAGTGAGGCTTGTATTCTGTGCTACCGAACCTCCCAGCCCATTGCCACCTTTGACCTTTTTTTGCACCTTGTTTCTCCCTCTCATGAGTTTCTCCTCCCTCTCTCCTTGCTTGTAATTGATTCTGAGGCCTGCAAACTCCACATCCCTGAAGTTTTAGCCCAGGCTTTCTGGGCTGGGAGGGAGGCAGGGGTGGGGCTCTCAGTATTGTTGTGAGGTGCTGACTAGTCAGCTCCGACTCATAGCGACCCCACATACAACAGAACGAGGCACTGTCCGGCCTGTGCCATCCTCACAATCCTTGCTAGACCTGAGTCCATCATGGCAGCCAGTGTCAGTCCATCTTGTTGAGGGTCTTCCTCTTTTCCCCTGATCCTCTGCTTTACCGAGCATGTATACTTGGCTCTCGAATGGTAGGGCCCTGCCACCCTGTGACTTGAATGGAGGCCATGGGAAGGAACAGGTTTCAGCCCATGTCACTGTTCTCTGAGTGCACTGGGGTGCGCAGCTGTGAGAGTACTGTTATCTGTTTTATTATTATTAATAAATAACTAATGCAATTTTCCCACGCATCTGGGGAACCTCAATACTATGCAAACCACTTTCGGGAACATTTCCTCATTCTCTCTTCACTGTAACTTCCTGAGCTGGGTAGGGCAGAATTTTTACAAGTGGGGGGTCTGAGGTAATGTGATTGTCGGTAGCCCAGGTGGCAAGAGGCCGAATCGGGGCCAGAATCCAGGTCTGGATCCAGAGCTCTCCTGAAAATCCTCTTTCTTCCTCCAGCAGGTAGACGAGCCCTCGGAGCCCGTGTACGCGAACATAGAGCGGCAGCCCCAGGCCACCTCCCCGGCCACGTCCGCGGCCCTGCGCCGCAGCTCCGTGTGGGAGACGCTCACGGACGCGGGCACCGGGCGCCCCTACTACTACAACCCAGACACAGGCGTGACGACCTGGGAGTCGCCCTTCGAGGCTGCCGAGGGCGCCGCTAGCCCGGCCACCTCCCCGGCGTCGGTGGGCAGCCGCGAGAGCCTCGAGACTGAGTGGGGCCAGTACTGGGATGAGGAGAGCCGCAGGGTGTTTTTCTACAACCCGCTGACGGGGGAGACGGCCTGGGAGGACGAGCCTGAGGACGAGCTGGAGAACGAGCTGGAGATGCAGCCGGGCCTGAGCCCCGGCAGCCCCCGGGACCAGAGGGTGAGGGGCGGGACCTTATGTGGAAGGGCGGGGCCAGAGGTGGGCTGGGCTGGTTTTGGGCGCCTCTGACCCTGCCACTGCTCCCCACAGCGCTAGGGACTAGAGGGTAAGTGGGCAAGGCGGGGGTCCTCTAACAACATCTTCTGCTTCCTGCAGCCTCCCACTCCCGAGACTGACTACCCAGAGTCGCTGACCAGTTACCCGGAGGAAGACTATTCCCCGGTGGGCTCCTTCAGTGAGCCTGGCCCCGCCTCTCCCTTGGCCACGCCCCCCGGCTGGTCGTGTCATATGGGCACTGACGGGCAGACCCTGTACACCAACCATTTCACCCAAGAGCAGGTAAGGGCAGGTGGACAGATCCCAGCTCCCGCTCCCCTGTCTGCTCTCTAGACAGCTGTGTGAAGATTCTTCCTCAGGCCTTCCTCATTTTTTGCTGCCTGTCATCAGGCTTTCCTGATGTTATGTCCCTTCTTCCCCTTAACGCTGCAAACTGCAGCTCCCCTACGGTCCCAGCCCTCCTAAGACACTGCAGTCACCAATACCACCCGTGCGCCAAACTCACTGGCACTATCCTGGACTCTGGTTGGAGGGATCCCTTTCCTCCCCTCTCATGAGGTGGGCCAGGAGCCCTGACCCTGTCGCTCCCCACAGTGGGTGAGGTTGGAGGACCAGCATGGGAAGCCATACTTCTACAACCCAGATGACGCCTCTGTTCGGTGGGAGCTGCCCCAGGTAACCACCTGGGGGAGGGAGAGTGTTGGGGAGAGAGGAGGGGGTTGTAAATTAGTTTCTTCCTCCCCTGGAGTTCTTGGGTGGTGCACATGGTTAACATGCATGGCAGCTAACCTAAAGGTTGAAGATTTGAGCAACCAGAGGTGCCTCACAGGAAAGGGCTGGTGATCTAGTTTTGAAAAATCATACTGTGGAGCACAGGGTCGCCATGAGTTAAAACCGACTCATAAGCAATTGCTTGTTTCATTTTATTTTCTTCCCTAGGTCCCTGTCCCTGCTCCTCGAAGCATCCACAGATCTAGCAACAGTGACACCCCAACCCAGGCCAGTCCCCCTGAGGAGAAGGTGAGGGGGCATGTAAGCTCTGGCAGGAACCCCCATGGAAGTGTGGGGGGGGGCTTTTGGAAGTCCTGGGGTAAGGAACTGTGCCTGCTGTGTCTGTCTCCCCCACAGACCCCAGCACTAGGCTGGGCTGAGGGAACCCAGGAGTCTGGGTCTGCTCAGCCCCAGAGCTGGGTGAGGTTGAAAACTGGATAGATCTCTCTCTGCTGCTGCTGCTGAAGCAAATGCCCCACCCTCCACCACCAGTCAGGGGGCTGTGCAGGGTGACCGTTTCAGCAGAGACTCGGGCCCAGCCTGTGGGGAGTTGCTGGCTGATGGGAGACCAGCCGCTGCCTCCTGTGGTGCACCCCATACTGCCTCCTCTTTCCCCTCTAAGATCAAGACCCTGGACAAGGCAGGCGTACTTCATCGTACCAAGACAGTGGACAAGGGAAAACGACTCCGGTGAGAGTCTGTCCGTACCCAGGCAGGGTGGTCCTTAATAATGACGTTCACTGAGCTCTTCCTATATGCCAGGCTCTTATTAATCCTCATAGCAACTTCATAAGAAGTCCTGTGAGGAAACTGAGGCACCAAGAGATAAAGTGACTTGTCCAAGGTCTCTTGGCTACAGGGTCTTAAGAGTTGGGAGTCCACCTCTCTCAGTCGGGTGCCCCAAGCTCTGTGCCGTGCCCCTGGGGGTGGTTAACACTCTGAGGGGACCTCAGCAAGTCCTGCCCAACCCTTACCAACCTAGGAAGAAACACTGGAGTGCCTCCTGGACAGTGCTGGAGGGCGGTGTCCTGACATTCTTCAAGGAGTCAAAGACCTCAGCTACAAGCAGCCTGGTGAGGCCCAGGCCCCCAAGGCAGGGACCACCACATCTGCTCCCAACCTTAGTGGGTCTCTGTCTAATCTGGCTTGTCAAGGGCTAGGACAGAGAAGTGTGAGGTGTCAAAGAGCTGGGCCTTTCAGGGAGGGGGCAACACCCCTAGAGTCAGCCCAGGATAAGCAGGTCCAGCCATCATGTGGGTGGAGAACAGTCCTTGAGTGTGGACCACTCCAGCTCATGGGGATGGGACTACATCCCTTCCTCCCTTTCCCTTCCTGAGTGGGCAGCCAGCAATGGACAAACCAACTAGTAGCCTTCATGGTTAAGAAGAACCAAGCTCCCCCAGAGTTGTTGCCTGGCCACCAGTGGCTCCATCCTCTCCCTAGAGGAGAACTAGAAGGAACCTGGTGGGTCAGAGCTGGGGTACTAGGATAGGTCTGAGCAGAGGGCTCCCTGTAATGGTGCTCCCCGTAATGGTTCTCCCCATTCTTCTTCCCTCTTCAGAAGCAGCCTTCCAAGCTCTCCACCCCTGAGTACACAGTGGAGTTGAAGGGGGCCTCTCTTGCTTGGGCTCCCAAAGACAAATCCAGCAAGAAGAACGTGCTGGAGGTAAGTGGTGGGAGTGGGGAGAAGGAAGGAAGGAGACTGGCTTTGCCAGTTCTTGACCCCAAGAGTGGTAAGGAGTAGGGGTCTCTGGGAGATGAACTTTGTCATGCCAAGAAGGGCAGCCCTCACCCTGGCTACTCACTCTGATAGGCCAGGATGGGAAACCTGCTCTGCCTGCCGAGACCCCAGCTGCCAACTGGCCTGGGTCCCCAGTAAATGAACCAGAGCAGTGGACATGCTTCTTAAGCTCCCCCAGAAGAGAGGCCAGTGCGGCCCAGGCAAGGGTCCTTGCAGTGCAACATCCTTCACACTCCAAGTTTTGTCTTTTATTATTATTATTATTATTTTTTAATTTTATTTTTATTTGGGTGAAGATTTACAGAGTAAATTCACTTTTCATACAGCAGTTCACATATACTTTGTCTCATGTCATTGACCAAAATTTACAATG